CAGCTCCAACTTATTTGCCTCCTACCAAAAAACTACAGACAACAGTCGAAACACGTCCGCCGATAACAAAAGCAGCCACAATAACTGAGACAATAAAAAAAAACACACCACCAACAACCTATCGAACAAGAGGTACGGTCCCAACCACAAGTTATAAAACTACGTTACGGGTTCCTACAACTGCTTACGCAACAACTAAGCGAACTCCAACTGTAGGAACAACACCACTATCAACCACGACACCAGTGAGATTTTCAACAACGTCAAAGCAAACAACTCAGGCACGTACTCAAAGAACTTCTATTAAGCCACAGCCACCGGCAACAACTGCAACCGTAAGAACTTTTACAGAAACAACCAAACCTATTACAGTAAGCTATGGGACAACAAGCAAGGCACCAATAACTTTATTTAGAACAACAATAGGTATCCCTACGACTATTTACACAACAACCACGCGAGCTCCAACCACAGAAAGAACAAGATCACCAACCATTCCTAGGCGAGAACTTTCAATAACACCAAAACGAATAACTCAAACTTCAACTCAAAAAACAAGCACTCCCGGTCCAACTTATTTGCCTCCCACCCAAAAACCACGGACAACAGCCAAAACGCGTCTACCTTTAACAAAAACAGTCACAACAACTAATATAATAAAGACGAATACGCCAGCAACAACCTATCGAACAAGAGCTACCGTCCCAACATTAACATATAAAACTACATTACGGGTTCCTACAATTGGTTACATAACAACAACGCGAACTCCAAGTACAGCAACACCAAGACCATCAATCACAACAGTAGGGAGATTTTCAACAACGTCAAAGCAAATAACCAAAGCGCCAACACAAACTTACCTTCCACCGTCTGTTAAGACACCGGCAACAACAGTGACCGTGAGAAGTTATACAGAAAAAACCAAACTTCCCACAGTAAGCTACGTGACAACAACCAAAGCCCCAACTACGTTGCTTAGAACGACAGCTGGTCCGCCCACGATTATTTATTCAACAACCACACGAGCTCCAACTACAGAAAGAACAAGACTGCTAACTACAACAACACGAAAAGCTCCAACAACACAAAAACAAGTAACTCAACCACCAACTCAAAAAA